GCAGTTTAGGCTCAAAGGCATTTTTGTAAAATGAATGTCAGAAGACATCGTCCACTTTTTTTTCTTTTGCGGTACTGGGGATCGAATCTCGAGACATCAGGCAGACTAGGGAAGCAGGGAAGTAGAGAGGACCCCACTTCCCACAAAGACTCCCAACCCGTGGCTTTTTGGTTTCCTTTTTTTTTTTTTTTTCCAGACAAGATCGCGCCGTATAACTCGGTGTTAACTCGCGAGCGATCTTGTGCCTCAGCCTTACAAGCGCTGGGATTACAAGCATGAGGCCACCACGCCCAGTTTTTATTTCGTTTTGAATTCAAAATAATTTTTATTTGAAATGTTCTAAATGTACATTCCTCTAACCTGGCTTCCGCTCTGCCCCTGCTGGTGGCCCAGCGCCTAGCTGGAAACCATATGAACTATTTTAAGAATTTCCGGAAACTGGAGAGAGGCAACTCAGCGTGATTTACATACCCAAAATGCATTGCACAAGGGATCGTTTTAAAATTAAAATTGGCAGACGCGTTCTTCCTCCTTTTGCCTTTTTTCCCTTTCAAGATGAAATTACATTCACAGAATTGTCTTATGAGAAAAACAAAAACATCAAGTTGTTCAGGTAAATAGTTACCATGGCTGATGTAGTAGTTACGGTTACTCAAGGATTGTATTCACAAAGTTGAAAGTATACTCTGGTTTCTCTTCAGATCGTATAAATCTTTCGCCTTTTACTAAAGATTTCCGTGGAGAGGAACAATTCTGAGTCTCAACCCAATTTTTTGAGGCCTTGCAACAGCAGGGCTAGCATGGTGGTTAAATGTAAGACAAAGATTTGAATTACATTTTCTTGGTATTTGTGATCACCAAGAAAACAAGTACTATATGAGATCCACCTGAAAGATAAGTTAAAAGTGTGTATTTGTAGTTGTAAAGCAATAGCATGTGAGCCAGTTTAGTTAGCTAGATATGTGAGAAAAATTCAGGCTTATGAGAAATCATGGTTTGTGGTTTTTCCTCAATTATCGCAGTGAAGTTTTTTTCAAGCAAAAGCAGTGTAGAACCACAATCAAAGCATTAAGATGAAAGTGAAGTTTAGCAGGTTAGAGGGTGTTAAAGGGGTGGTAGTTTCAGTAATAGTATGATTTTATAGTAGACTGGAGGGTTACTGCTCAAGATTTTTTAGTATTTATTACATAGTTTATATATGTGGGCCAGTCACTGTCCTGCATGTTTTGTGTAGTGGAGTTTACACTTGTGTGTACTGAGAGAGAGTAAATAAATGTAACAAACCGTGCTAATACAATAGCCTTGCCTATAATTTAAGAAATATGAGTAGCTGAGCTAGGATTAAAAGTTTGTGCTACAAAGTGAATTCAAGACCAGCCTGAACTGAGGAGTGAGACCTTATCTCAGAAAACAAAAACAAAATTTAAAAAAATAAAACAACAGTCTGTACCTCTGGCTCAGCAGTCTGCAAGTCCCCAACTCAAAACAACAACAAAAACAAAAATGTAACAGAAAATGCCCCCATGCAACCCAGTTTCTTAGTTGAAGTTGCCCAAGTAATAGTTCCTGTTCTAGTTCCAGTTGCTTCAGGTCTCACAAATGGCTAGTCACCTTGATGCATACACATTGTGTAAACCAGTCCCCAATCAGCAAGCCGTTCTGCTTCTGTACTTCCTGCTTGCTTATCCTATGTAAGCCCTAGACCACCAGAGATGAAGGCCTGATATTCTGGAAATGATCCTGATCAGTGTTGACCAGTGCAAATAAATCAGCTTCCAACTCCTGTATTTCAGTGTTTCTGCTTGCTGAAACACTGATTCAGCTGATGTGTCAGCTGAGTGGACAGACCATGCTGATCTCTTTGGTCACTGATTGTGGCCCTCAAGGATGGAGCACGGACCGCTATAGATTCTGATGGGAAGGCATACCCTTAAGATTTCCCAAGTCCCTTTGGGGGTCTGGAGGAGGATTCCTGACTTCCTGCTTGAACTGCTCAAATCCTATCCAAAACAGAGTCAGGAGGACACCATCTGTCTGCCTGCCTGCCTGATTCTGGTAAGACTCCTGGGGACACCCCAGTTAATCTGTCAGTCCTGCTCAGCTTGAGCAGAAGGGGAGTCTGAGCAACTCCTGTTAGGACCACCCTCAAGGGAAGGGAGTTAGAATGTTTAATCTCTGGGTGCCTGTTGAATGAATGTGTGAGTGGAATGGACAGTGTAAACAATAGGCTGCTCCATCTGTGCACCAACACTGGGAAGCACTGGTCAAGGTGGCTGAGTAGGCCCTCACCTGCAGATTTGTTTTGATCAACATGTGGCATAATAGAGGCTTTGCACCGTACTCAGCAAGTAGCACCTAAATCCCTGCAAGGGGCCCAGTCAGAAAGGCATCTGAATGGTCCCTCTTTGAGGGGCACCCATCCTTTCTTTGCCTGCTGTATCATCATCCAAGGGTACACAACACATGTAGGAAGTCAGAGATGAGAATTAATTTGTCAAAACTCACAGTCCCTGCCTGCAGGAAAAAGGGCTTTTAAGGAGTTAAAAATGAAACCAAACTGCTTCTTGCATTTCAAAGGGGAAAAAAAAAAAAAAAAAAGCCCTTTCTTTCTGAGAATCCTACCTTAGCACCCTTGTCAGCTGCCACAGTTGCTGACAACAGTTTTACCTCCTGCTCCAGACTCATCTACTTAAGTCAACTGCACTTATTCCAGCAAGCCACATATTTGGCCATAGAGGCCCTCCCCACCCTGAACCTTCTGCAGATGACAACACTTGCATCAGTCTGATGGGCTCAGACTTGGCCAGGCTGGGCTCCCTTCTTCAGCTGGGCCACTGGGAGTCCCTAATAACATCATTGGGCCAACTAGGACTCTTGCCTCTTGCCCCTTCTGCCAGGCATGAACTTGCACCCTGGGAGGACATCTCCTGTCTAAGCCAGTCCCCACACCACTTCTGGGAAGAGATCACCTCTTGAAGTTAGAAGTGACCATCTCCTTCGCACCAAGCCAGTGAGTGTCTTTCAACTTTGAGTGTTTTCCAAGAGGAAGATGATTCCTATGTGAGCATGAGACAGATAACCACAATCTAGAAGTTCTGAAAACTCTTCTCTGAGAGGTATGAACTAAAGACTCACCTCTAGACCTGGCCATTAACCATATCACCTCATCACAACCCCCATTGTTGTCAGATATCATGAGAAGCACAAACAAGCATTCAGTCACATGTCAGCCCAATAGACTGTTGATCACCTTGGTCAAGATCTCTGTGCAGTCAACAGTGCAGCCATCACCTTGTACTCTGCAGTTCCCAATCCGTAAACACTTTTTGGACTTTCTAGATTTAAAGATGCCTTCTTCTGCTTGTGAGTTGCTCCCAAAAGCCCCTTCAACTGGGAAAATTCTGAGGCAAAAGGCCATCTCACTTGGACTCAATTGCCACAAGGGGTTAAAAATGCTCCCACTAAACCGGGCATGGTGGTGCACTCCTGTAATCCCAGAACTCAGGAGGCGGAGGCAGGCAGATCATTGCAAGTTGGAGACCAGCCTGATATACAAAGTGAGCCCAAGGTCAGCCTGAACTGCATAGTGAGACCCTGTATTAAAAAGACAAAAAAAAAAAAAAAAAAAAATGCTCCCACTGTTTTCGGGGAGGCCCTAGTCATCACAATCCACCATGGAAGAAAAAAAATGAGGCTTCAAAACTACAAAGTATCTATAGACTGGCACATTGCTAAAATATAAAGCCATCTCCCAGCTGCCAATACCACTGTGATTGCCCTCTGTATAAGTTACCTCAGTCTTCTGCCACCCACAGCCTGTTGGTACACCTGCCTGGCTCTAAAAAATGCCTTCTTCTACCTTTGATTGGCTCCTGTCAGCCAACCCCTCTTCACTTTTAAATAGAAAGACCTCAGTTCTGTATTCAAAAACCAACTGACCTAAACTCAACCTGCCAGAGGTACAAAAACTTGTTTTCTCTTTGAGAAAACACTTCTGATTAGTGACACTCAAGCTGCTGCTGGAAAGGCACAAAAGCTGTTATAATATCTGCAGAGCTGCTGACTTCTATAAAATCTGGATCCTGAAGATCACAAAAACAACGATTTTTAAAAAATTTATAGAATTATTTTATTTTATTATTTTTGTCTTTTATTTATTTATTTATTTTTTTGTCTTTTTTGAGACGGGGTCTTGCCTTGCAGTTCAGGCAGGCCTTAAGCTCACTTTGTAGCCCAGGCTAGGCTCGAACTCGCAATGATCCTCCCTCACTGCCTTGCAGGGTAATGTTAAATTATGTCTCTTCTTAAAAACAATTTAGGAACAAACTCTGTAAGGACAGGGTTGGGGAGCCTGACTAAGGCCCATAGGATCACTGACAGCCCTAACATTACTGCCTCTAGTTGGGCCTTGTTTCTAAAGATCACATGTAATATGCCCAGCAAAGACTTATCAGGAAAACTAAAAGAAGCGGGAAATGTAGCAGAAAATGCTCCCTCTCTGCCCCCCAGTTTCTCAGTTGGCCCGGAAATAGTTCTTGTTCCTGTTCCAGTTGCTTCTGGTTTCTTAGAAACAGTTGGTCACTGTGATGCATAGCTGATCACTATGATGCACACTGTATAAACCAATCTCAATCGGCAAGCCATTCTGCCTTGGTACTTCCTGCTTACTTGTCCCATATGAGTTCTAGACCACCAAAGATCATGACCTGATATTTTGGAAATGACACTGATCAGTACCTGTCAATGTAAATCTTGGGCGTCATTTCTATGTTTCTGTTTGCCATTGCAAAAAAAAAAAAAAAAAAGCTGGGCACAGTGGTGCATGCCTATAATTCCACAGTGAGTTCAAGGCTAGTCCAAATTGCTGGAATTACAGTTGTGAACCCCATTCTCAGCTCAGAACCTGATTTTTAACGTAGTGAGCAGAGGGACTTCAACCTCAACCCACAGCTTTCCTTTGATCTCCCTTCCCCCGCCACACAGCTCACAGCACACAGACAGAGAGCAGAAAGACTGTTTATTGGACTCTTTCTGGACAGCTGCCCCCCTCCACTGGGGCTGGGTGGAACAGTCACAAACTTCACCCGGGCCTTTCTGCTGGGCAGCTTTGCCCTTGTGGAAGCTCAGTTACTCCTTTGATTCTGCATCCTCCTTCTGGAAGTGGGTGATGTAGGCCATGTCATTGGGATCCCCAGAGGCAAGGGGAACGTTCAAGTTGCTGTTGGAGAGGTCGTAGAGGTCTAATGCTGCAGCGGCAAGGACAGGAGCATGAGCTGTGGTGCCGGGTGTGGCAGGCTGCAGGTCCCGGCCCTCCCTGCTCACCTTGGGCAACGTTGACCTCGTTGACAGCCAGGATGTCTGCCTGAACGCTGTCGATTTTCATATACAAGTCTCCACCATAGCGCTGAGGACAGGAGTGAAGGAAGCCATGTGTGGTTCCAGGTCTGTCCGACCTCCGATTGGCTTTGGGCTGCTTGATCATTATTTTCCCTCTTTGGGCAGAGGGGTTCTTAGGACTGAATTATCAAGGGACAAGAGACTGGGGGGTGAAGAAGTCCAAGCCAGGGGTAGCTCCTCCTGCATGGGTGGCCAGGCTCATTCCATGTGCAGAGACTGTATTGTGTTCCTGGCAGGACCTGGGCACTTACGAGGAACAGCTGGTATAGTTCCTCCCCCATGGACCTGCGCACGTGCTCCTCCACCACTGGGAACGTCTGCACGAAGAACTGTGGCCAAGGGGTGGGGTGAGATGGGAGTGGGGCAGGGTGGTGGCATTGTGGCTGTGACTATGCAGTCCTTGCCCGGGTTCCCTGCAGCCCCCGCCCCGCCCCCCCGCTCCCCCCCGCCCCCGCCTCCCCCCCCCCCCCTCCCGCAGTCCCGCGCACCTGCAGTGTGAGGGCAGCCAGCCGCTGGCTGTTGCTGTGGTCTGAGTTGCCCATGGCGGCCATCAGGCTGCGCACCACGTGCAGGCGCAACATCTCCTCCGCCACGTGCAGGCTGTGGCGCGCCAGGACCCTGAGAGGACAGCAGGCAGCGCCACCCCGGCTTTCTCCGTGCCCACCCCACCCCCACTCCCGCCAGCTCATGTCCCGTCGCTCACCCGATGGCTTTGGCGGCTGCAGCCTGCTGCAGGAAGGATGGTGGGTGTGCGGTGAGCTGCAGGAACGGGCACTCTGGGGAGCGAGAGGCCGTGAGGGAGGTAGACACCCCTGCCCCACCGGGCAGCCTCGGGGAGGGTCCTACCAGCGAGGATCTTGGGGTATGCTTGGGAGGTCTTGATGGAGGGGATGAGCAGCGCCACCAGGCCCTTGAGCAGCGGCAAGCGCACATCGTAATCCACCAGGTCCTTGATGAGCTCGATAGCTAAGGAAGGTAGAGAACCCCAAGAACCTGAAGGCCACCTTTTCTCAGTGCCCTTGACGGCCCAGCACTTTGCCAGGCCTGGGGCAGCTGAGAAGGTGACACCCCATTCCTGCCCTCCTGGAGTTTGTGATTGAAGAAGAGGTGGAGAGCTGGGCATGTAATCTCAGTGCTGTGGGGGCTGAGGCAGGAGGGCTGCAAGTTCCAGTCGAGCTTGGCTGACTATGTGACTTAGGTTGACCCTGTCTCCCAATAAAAAATAAGAAGGGGCTTGGGGTATAGCTCTGAGTGAGGCCAGTCAACCCCCAGTACTGCAAAAATGGGGGTGGTGAGACTGGAGGATCCATGGGTCACAGAACCGGGCCAAAGGGAGGATGAAGGGTTGGATGGGAGCCCAACCAGTGAGGATTCCCGGAGAAGTCAGAGCTGGAGACTGAGGCCACACAGGAATGGGCTGCTTTCAGCTTGGAGGAATCCAGGTTCCATATATATATCCTTATGGCCCAGGCTGGACTTCAACACAGGCATGTGGTATTGTAGCCAGGTGGGCTGGGTCTTTGAAGGGAGACAGAATGGGAAAGAACGGGGTGGGGAGCAAAGAGGTTAGGTGTGGCAGCAAATGAGAAGCTGGAGGACGAAAGGTGGAGCCTTGTGGACTGCCGTGAGGAGCCTGGTTAACAGCAGGTGCTGGGCCTTTCCACACAGTAGCCCACTGACTGTACATCAGAACCTGGCATAGGACTACCATCCCCATTTTGCATTTGAGGGAAGGAGGAACAGAAAGGTTAAGCCCTTTGCCTAAGCCACAGCTAGGAAGGAGGGAAAGATGCAAAAGGAGGGAAAGATGTGGTCAGGCAGGCAGGGCGGGAATTTACTGGGTGGTCCTGAGGCCTTTTCTGCAAAGCCCTTCCACACAGTGGCTCATTCCGGCCTTCACTGCATTTGGCAAACCTGCATTGAGGGCCAGGTGCAGCACTGGGTGCTGGGGATACCAGAGTGAATTCATTCATTCAGCCAACTGTCCTTGAGCAGTGACAACATAGTAACAAGTGCTATGAAAGGGACCCAGTAGAGGGGCTATATGAGCATCTGGGGAGATACAGGAGGGCTAGATATCTTTGTAAGAGAAAGTACAGAGGCAGAGCTAGAATGGGCAGGGTAAAATGCAAGGCCCACTTGGTTCACCAGCATGAGATGAGACTGATCCCAAGTGCCTGCTGCATGAATGGCAGGACTTGGTCACACACTGCCCTGCTCAGAAGCCTGTTTATTCCCTGTTTATTCCTAGAGGAGACAGCAGTTAGGGAAAGCCCTTGGCTCATTGCATCCCAGAGTGCAATGTGGACACATCAGCATTATTACCAGAATTATCTTTGCATAATGATAATTAACTTTCTATTTCTTTGACAGGGAATTTTATCCACTGAGAGCATGTTCAGGACAATTATCTACAATTGTATAGTGCCTGCTGCAGCAGTACATATACAATGGAACAAAAGCTTTCATAGGCAGACACAAAGGTACCACAGGTGTTGGTGGACCAATTAGGACCTGGCAAGACAGGCACAGCATAAATCAATATTTTTTTTTCTTTCCTCTTCAGTACTTATATCTCCCTTTACACCGAGTTAGCTTTCTTTTGAATATTTTTGAGGCAAGTCTCATGGCAACCTGAGCTGGGATTTTCCTAACCATGATTTAGAATTGGTCTCTATTTCACACCTTCAGCTATAGGTGGAACCAATCCTAGTTTAGTAGGTCCCCTTGTGTCAGGTGAACTTTCAGGACGGTGTCTTTGTTCTCTTCTCCCAACCTCCCCTCTCCACTCAGGAGCAGATGTCTTGTGTCTCTGCCCCTTAGTCCTGTTTTCTTGCCATGGAATACTGGATCATCCATCTCTCCACTAATGTGTCAATTCTTAGTAAACAAATCTTTGCTTTATTTGAGAGAGGGTCTAACCCAGGCTGGCCTTGAACTCATGATTTTCCTGCCTCAGCCTTCCAAGTGCAGGGATTCCAGGCGTGTGCTATCTGCCTACCTCCTAGCAAACATATTTGATACACCTCTCTTTTTCAGAGCCCCAGAGCATTCAAGGCCTACCATGTGTGCTTCATGAATGTTCCTGTTGAAAAGGACGGCCTGCATCCTCTATTCCTGCAGGCTAAAGACCACTGGGGTCACAGCAGCATAGAACTATGTTCACAAACTGCCACTCTGGTGAGAGATAGCCTCTGCTGTGGCTTGGATACCCATCCCCAAAAGCATGTATCAAAGCCTCGGTCACTGTCTGTGGTGCTACTTGGGGATGACTGAACCTTTGCAGGTGGCACCTTGTAGCAGAGAGTTAAGTCGTTGGGTGCATATTCTGATAAGGGGGCAGAATACAGGCCTAGCCCTTTCCTATCTCTTTTTGTCCCATGGCTGCCTTGAGAACAGGCTTCCTCTACCACACTCTCCTGCCTTGTGCTGCTGAGTCATATCCCCAGCACATTTTTCTTTTCTTTCTTTCTTTCTTTCTTTTTTTTTTTTTTTTTTTGGTACCGGGGACTGAACTCATGACCTTGTGCTTGCCAGACAGGCGTTTAAGCCACTGAGCTAAATCCCTGGCCCTGCTGCCTTGATCTATTATGCAGCCACAGGCCCAAAGCAACAGGGTAAAGCGACCATGGATGAAACTGTGAGCCAGAATAAACTCTTCTCTGTAGAAGCTGATCATCTCAGATGTTTATTACAGTAAGAGAAAGCTATCTAACTAAACTCCAAGTAGGCTCTGCACTGGCCCTGCGGCTTCATCCTCACTGAGCTATAGGACCATTCTCAGCTCTGATTCTTTCCTCACAGGGTGCAAAACCAGAACAACTGTCTTGCCAACTTTTCTTTTTCTTTCTGGGTGCTGGGGATCAAACGCAGGCCCTTTTATATCCTAAGCAAGTGCTCTGCCCTTAGGCTACAATCCCAGCCCCACAGCCAACTTGGCGTTTTTTGAAGCCAGAACCTCATACTTCTTGGCCAGCCAGAGGTAAGCAGTACTGCACACCGCTCACTTCGTGAGAGCCAGACACAGTGGGAAGGTACAGGGATGTGACACTTCCTCCAGAGGGCAATGCAGGACAGGGGGTGTGGCCAGTGAAAGGGACCGCAGGGAGCCACAGACCACACAAGGGTCCCCACAAGGAATTGCTTTCCTTCAGCACTTGAAGCTTTACTTGCTTAACAAACAGACCTGTGCTGCCTAACAACACAAGACAAGCCTTGTGGAATATGGTCACTGACAATAAACAGGGCAATGGTCAAGGCAGAGCTGGGACAATAGCAGCCTAGTCTGAGACCTGCACGCTGTACACTCAAAACTCTCCTGCCTGGTTGCTGAATGTCTGGGAACTGCAGACACCGCCAGAGGGAGGGGGGCTGACTGTTCCTCTCTCAAGGGAAGGCGCAAGCCATGCTGGGCTGGTGAAAAGCACAGAAAGGCTACCAACGGAGAAGCAGCCCACCTCCATGCAACTGCTCTCAGCAAACTAGGAGGCATGGTGGTGCACGCCTGTAATCCCATCACTCGGGAGGCTGAGGCAGGAGGATCACAGGCCAGCCTGGGCTACACGGTGAGTTCAAGGCCAGTCTGCAGTATACAGCAAGACCTTGTCTCTGACAAACAAAAAGAGGGCCAGAGATTTAGCTCAGTGGCATAAGCGCCTACCTGGCAAATATGAGGTCATGAGTTCCATCCCTGGTACCAAAACAAAACAAAAACCCAAAAATAAACAAAAGAAGGTTGGGGGCAGTTTGGAGATGTAGCTCAGTGAGAAGACCCTGAGTTCAAAGAAACTACTCTACTGTAAGAAAAAAACAAAACAAAATTTATTATTTAAATTTTTTAAAATTATTTTTTAATGGGGCTGGGGATTTAGCTCAGCGGCATAAACTTCCTGCCTTGCAAGCAGGCGGTCGTGAGTTCGATCCCTGGTACTGATAAAAATGAAAAAAAAAAAAATCTTAAATTATTTTTTAAAACTGCTGCTGTGCTAAGTTTTGGGGGCCTCCCATTCATCTTCAAGGTCTGGAGCCTTGGAACATGACAAGGCTCAATTCTAAAGATCAATGCAAGATGAAGGCCATTTTGTTTCATCTTAATTACATAATCCAAAATTGACTCCTAAGTGGAAGGTCCTGAAGCATTTCCGGTGATACCCCTCCTAGTATCCATGATTCTGGGCACAGCTCTATTGGGGTGGTCTCTTCTCTCTGTGGCCTTCCCTGATTCACTAACAGTTGCTTCATTTAGAATTGCTTCCTATTGCTGGGTGTGGTGCTGCTCAGCTATAATCCCAGCACTCGGGAGGCTGAGGCAGCAGCATTGCCACAAATTTGAGGCTAGCCTGGGCTACACAGTGAATTCAAGGCTAGCCTGGACTATGCAGCAAGCTCCTATCTCAGAAAGACAAAGAAAGGAAGAAAGGAAGAAAGAAAGAAAAAAGAGAAAGAGAAAGAAAATACAATGAAACTCAATATTTTGTAAAATTAATATGCAAAAATAAATCAATAAAAATCACTGCTTCACACAGTGGGAAAAATAGAAACAAAACAAATGTGAGATACTTGCCACATAGGCTCTATAAAAACTTTAGTGCAAAAGGAAAAATTAATTCCTTTAACCTAGAGAGGAATCCACAGCTTGTGAGTACCAGAAGAAATCCCAGGGGTCAGTTGAGACAAAAGAAACCAAGAACCCATGACAGCCAGCAGGAGGCGGAGCAGCAGCCACAGATTTACATTCTTGCAACGGATGGAGCCTTAGAAATAGCCTAGCACCTGGGACCCGCGGCTATCAGTACATACACAGGCAGTAAATATCCCACCCCAAATATATATACTGACATTTTTAGAGTTGGTGAGTCCAAGAAACTGCACAACTCTGCAGATGCGGAAATGGTTCTGAAAGGCCGCCCTTTTGTACAGACTAAATGCCCTTTTACATCCATGAGAGAAATCTGCCTGGCAAAACA